TGTTTATCTTTCAATATTTAAAATCTTTAAGTCTAAAAGTGAAACCTGTTTGAACAAAAATCTTAGWAAAAATATGACACTTATTTTATTAAACTGTACACATGCAACTCTAAAGTTGTTCTGCACACAAATATTGATTCATATTGATGCTTATTAATGGATWTAGTTACAGCTGCAGTGTTTATGGTTTAGAAACAACAAAAAGTCTAACAGACGTGTATATAAGTTATTATGGGGACAGATGATTTAATTACAYTTTCTTATAAAAGACTGCTAATCATTCAGATGTCTTTGTGAAGTACATGTTTTTATATACTAGATAATTACTGTATAAAGCAATGGAACCAATACTGTTCAAAATGTACAATAATAATAATAATAATAATAATAATAATAATAATAATAATAATAATAATAATAATAAAAAACACTACCCTAAGTTTATGAAAAATCCTTATTGATAGTGTGGTTTCATTATATGATACAACAGCCTGCCATACCGGAGTGCAACTCTCGCTCTGTTATGCCTGACATTAAAAACATGTTAAGATATTCCACATTTAATCCAGTGTTTTTACAGTATGAACACACTAGGCTTCACTGAAAAACACCTTTTACCTCAATATTTCTATTTTAAAATAATAATCTGTTAATTCAATGACGTAATGACGGGGAAAAGTGCCGATTTAAATCGCTTTTCAGGCAGTGCTTACTCGGAGCAGGAGAGGAGTCCGCTTCAGGCCGGAGTACTTCCTCCTTTCGGTGCCGTTCAGGACCAGGACCGGGCTGAGCTGGGCTCCATGATGGCACCGACGASTCAGTCCGGATGTTCGAGGCTTCAGCAGGATCACCGGGAAAAATAAGAAAATAAAAGCCCCTTTTTTTGTCCCAGAGCTCGACGACAGAGCCGATGCCGCTACAGCAGGCCCACTGTGGTCAAGGGCTAATTTGTGTCTTAATGCCAGGCCCGCTGGAGACACAGAAACAGAAACAGAACCGAAGGGGSGAAACCGCGTCCGGAGCAGGTGCAGAGTGGTTAAAAACCAGACCTCGCGCTCTTCACGTGCTCTKTGTTTCGACAGCTGCTCGTGTTTTTGGCTGTCAGAGAAAGAAGGAGGGGATCCGGCCGTCTCACTTCTGTGTTTGTAGATTTTGGGCGCCGCTGAAATGGCAGCAGCATCACATCGCCTGACTCATCCCGCATCAGTACCACTACCGTAAAGCAGCGAGTAGCGTCGCAAMGACAACTCCCTTCAGACTCGAGCTACAGAAAACACTGGTCCCCAACAGCGAATTCACTCAACATATCTACAAAAACGGCATGTGTTGTCAAAYCTTGTACAAAGCGAAACGGAAGCGATATTTTCGCTTCAAAATAAAACACCGAGTCTGTAAATGCACGTGARCATGTCACACATTATGTCATGAAGCTAATTATGTCATAAACTAAACAAGACTGTGAATAACTTACACAAAACACTGAGTCAACAAAAACACATTTTTGTGACCTTTTATTGTTTTATGTTGAAGCAGTGAAAAGTTGCAAACTCACTACTGCCCTCCTGAGCTCGTGCGAGACTGCGCAGTCGCAGAAATGGCCACTGTTCGCGCTAACGCTACTGGGAAATGTCGTTTTTAGATACCAGCAGCTCCAAACAACAAAAAAACTTTATTTTATTGTGAATTTAAGATTTATTTTAAAGTTAGGGCAAAAAAATGAGCAAAATAACATTACATGCACCAGGTCTGGTCAAAATAAGTACTTATTTTGGTCTAGATATATTCATGTCGACTTCTGGTTCTTTGACAAACACTAAAATTTAGAGCAACAAATGTAGATTGAATATTTTATGAACATTGACATCATTTTTTTACATCACTGAAAACAAAGTTTGTTGTTACCTTTTTAATTAATAGACGAATCAGAAACCAGGATGCAAAAACAGTGTAAACATTTAAATGAAAAGAAAACATTAAATAAACGCAGCTGAAGTTTTAAACTAATATCTGTTAATGTTTAGTATGTATCRGACATGACTTTCAAGCAAGCCAAACTTTAGCTGATTAGCTGTAAAAATGACTGCATTTTAGCTATTTTTATGTTTACTAAGTTTGATTGGCTGTGGCAGCCAYCTTCAATCAGGTTCATACAAAATGTATTCAGATCTTTGTACATTCAGTTTTATGTTTTTTTGAGGTTTTAATAGAACCTTTACATTTTAAGTGAAATATTTTGCTAACAAATAAATGAACACAGACAGGAAGTTACAAGGTGGTATGTGATAATTATTAAAACAGGTGACTGCATTTTCCTTCTGACCCTCTCTGAACAATAGAGCCAATCAAGCTTATTGTTAGTCAATGGCCCTATTTTGCATGTGACTAACCTGTTTGTYCATGTGGAGGCAGTGCTTATAAGGCTGAGTTTCAACTGAAACTCATCAGACTGAAGAAGTCTCTTGGAGGAGAGACGAAACATTTCACTAAAGAAGAACCCAYCMAGAGGACCTACTTATTTATTTTTTCTTTTTGATGTTTTTCTRCCTGGATTACTGAGATGCATCAGGAACTAAACTGGATTAGCGTATTCAAACAATTACTCTCAATCAATTAATTAATTTAAAAGAGTTCGAAACAAAAGGTTTCTACTGTTGATCACTTTAAGATAAAATAGATTGGCATGATTAAACACCTTCCCTCAGTTATCTCAGACAAATCAACCAAACAGACGTTTACACAAMGGATTTTAATCAACTTTGATTAAAGTACCAAAGTATTAAAGTATTTTTTTAATTTTTTAATGTATTTTTAACTTATTTATTTATTGCATTCTATTTGTTCTTGGATGTTCCCAAACTGGGGGGAATCCATTTTGTTCATTTTATTAGTGGCTTCAGAGCAGAAACATTAAAGGAGCAGACATTGATTCYCAAGAGGAAAACCTTTTTCTTCCCCTTAAACTTCATAGATAAAAAGATGTTGACGTTATGTTCATACGCTCAACAGTCCATTTTGCTGATGTAACAATCAGCGTCTGCTCTGGGAGTGAATTGTTTTTAGTCCTCGCAGCCTTTGCTCCTCAGTCATGCCCACAAGTATGCGTCCCTAAATAATGTTTCTCCACCAGAGGGTTCACTTGCAAAGGCTGAAATTTCTGTCTGTATGAAATTATGAATAGCATTATACACAAAAATTATACTTTTATGCTTTTTAAGCTCAAAAYATTGGGGTCGCACTATACTCAGTGTATTATACATAAATAAATGTGGTGTATTTGTTTCTGTAGCCTAACCCTGACCCTTAAACTCAGTTAATAAAGGTGTCCCAATACCAGTTGTTCTCAAATGGAGTACAAGTACTTCAGTTTGGGTGCTCACGGATACTTAGAACCTAATTCTGTAAGTACATTTTTTGCTACTCCACAACAGATTTCATCTCAATAAATCTTAAAATGGCTAAATTACAGCCTTTTAAAGCTAACTGTGGTGGCCAACATGATCAACATTTAAAATTTGATTTAAAAATTTGTTTTCAGCTACTTTTGCTCTCTACAAATGGTTTAATAATAAGTTGTGACTAGCCTTTAGCATGTTTTTAGTCATTTTTAACTATGGCCACAGAAAATTTCAGCTCAGTATTTCTTAAAACAGCTAAATTAAAGCCCTTTGGAATTAGATGTGGTGACCATCTTGAATTTTCTAATCCAGAGTGCTTTTCTTTATTTGTAGCCATGTGCCCCCTTAAAAAAAACACCTTGGCCACCCCTTGCAAAAAAGKTCTAGCTCCACCCCTGTGAGTTTTCTTAATAGCATGACTTTAAAATATTACAACTATTTTCAGGTAAAATAAGACTTTGAGTTTCATCATAATATTCTAACTTTATTCATATTATGACTTCAATCTCGTAATTAAAAAGGTTGTAATTTAGAAAAGAAGTCCCAAAAAGATTATTTAAAAAACACAGGTACACATACAAACACACATCCTTGTAATTGCATCAAACTGAGGACTTTGTATTCACTTCCATTCATTTATGCCTAACCCAGATATTTTCTCTAAAATTAACCATAACTGGTCTATAGCTAACTCTAACCTGAAACCAAACTTAACCATACCTCTAAACCAACTAGTTAAGCACAGCAGAGCTGCAAATAAAGTGAGGACCACACTGTAAAAAATGAAATGTTGGATTTACTTAACCATGTTATGTGACCTGGTTCCACTTAACTGAGTTGAKWVAADTCAAAGCAATATACCAGTTTTTTAACCAAAGAACATGAGCATGTTGCTTTGAATTTACTCAACTCAGTTAAGTGGAACCAGGTCACATAACATGGTTAAGTGTAACTTACCCCAAAATAAACTTTTTTAACAAATAAACTGCCCAAATTGTGTCTTAAGTGTAATACCTTGCTATTTTTGAC